AGAATTATAGCTTCCATCATCACTACTGCTTGTTGCAAGGGGTATCGGTTGGGTATCGGTCACACACGCCTGCCAATGAAACCACATCTCGGCCAACCCCAAATTGGCACCGTTCTAAGGGGCCGCCCAGGGAACTGTTGCCATATCAAAGATATATGCGGGCACTATTATAATCTCTATGTGCCTTTTTTTTTCTCGGCTCACTTGGGGCTCATGCAGGGCACAAGGAAACATAAGAACAACCCCTGAAAACCATTAAATGAATCCAGGTATCCCCCTCATTATCCTACCTACCCAGTCCGCTTATCCCTGTTCGCAACAACCATTCCCCAAACAAAAGTCACCGTGGCCTCCGCAGAAACCTGGGTATCCGTGTAAAGCCGATCTTTATCCAAAGGGTCCCAGTACTCAAATAATAGATAAGTTAGGCCTAGATGGGTTCCTACATAGGTACTTTGGGCCCTATTTACATACCATTTAGGTACTTGGACCCTTAGGGGTACCTGCTCACTAAACACCCGGAAGTTGTGCACCCGTACCAAAAATTGGTTTAGCCCCTAACCCTTTTTTCCTACTAAGTCCCCTGGTAAACCCTAAACCCACACAGCCGTTAAGGGTCCCTTTTCAGCTACTGGGCCTTCAAGCAACCCCTGTCGGGCCTCTAAACTCTGAACCCTAAACCCTGAATCCTAAGCCCTGAACCCTTGAATCCTACACCCGCAGCCCGAAACCCTGAATCTTAAACTTTAAGCCTTGAACCCTGAATCTTACACCCGAAGTCCGAAACCCTAAACCCTAAGCCCTAAACCCTTGTTGGGCCAGAGCTCTGAGCATCATCATCCCCGGCGCACCAAAAGGGTGGGCGCTGGTCGACTTCGAGCTTTCAAACTGTAGCAGTAAAGTTTAGGACCTTCCTTGTACCCTTAATTGGAGATATATGGTCCCTAATAGCGGGTACTTAGGCCCTAATAGAGGGTAGGAGGAGGGTCTAGGTTTAGGATTCAGTGTTTGGGGCTTGGGCTTTAGAGCTCAGGGGTTTGGAGTCTAGGATTAAGGGTTCTTAAGTTTAGGATTTGGGCATTCCGCTGACAGCTGTACCTATCCGACATATAGCCCCAAACGCTTCAGCTATCCAGGGGCCCTCTGATGGGCAGCAACGGCTCTGAACAACGTGTCTGAGCAAAGCATCTGAACAAAGCATCAACCCTAAACCCTACACCCTAAACAGTTCCTGCTTGTTGCGACTCTGCTTGAGAATAGCGTTACATGCTAAACAGTGAAGTTTTTTACGACAAAACATAATCCCCAAACACCCTAGATCCAAGTTCCAAACCTTACGTCTCAAAGCTTCAAGCCTCAAGAATATGGGGCCGTCGGCCCAAACGCCTCCCCCCCTCCCCACCCACAAAAATAACGACACCCTCAACCTCAAACCCAGGTCCAGGTCCCCATGCCCAAGCTCCCCCAACCCAAATGCCAACCCCAATTTAGGGTTTAGGGTTAAGGGGTACCATTGGGGTAATATTAGTATTAGGGTTATGTTGGGGTTATATAGGGATAATGGAAAAGAAAATGGAAACTACTATTTAGGATGTAGGGTTTAGGGTTTAGGGTAGTCACTCCCAGTATCATCCCCAAACCCTGTAATTAGAACCCTTACGTTGTCCCTGAACCTAAATCCTTACAGCTCACGACAATGCAAACTGCTTTGGGCAAAAGAAACAGCATCCGCAAAGAGAACAACTCCGTCAAGACCTGCACCAAATCACGTCAAAACTCACGACCTGAACCGTCTACAGTTTGCATGAACCCTAAACCCCTAAACTTTATGCCCGTAAACCCTTAACCCTTAAGTCTGTTGTTATTGAATCAGCCCCCTCCATGAAACTTCAAGCATCTGAGTGATCGACAGAGGCTGCTTCAACCTCAAAAAATTGAACGTGAACGGCTTCACCAGGAATAGTGCCGAGGGTTGTGTACACACAATATATACAGAATATACAGTGGATGGAGCAAATCTTGCACCACCCCTGTGCTACAGCATGAACGACGACAGAAACACGACACCTCCTCTTCTACATCGTGACGGACATAGACTGAAGTGATGCAAGATGTGGACATTGGTGACGGCTGCTCTCGTCCGACATTACTACCAATATTAATGAGGGGTGCAGGGCATTGGATTTCAAAAAACTGTTCACGTGGCGCAAGATTTCCCCACAACGGAAGGTAGATATGGCTACCCATGCTACCGCCCAACATGGGCCCATCTTGTTGTGTGCTTGCGCAACCAAAAATTGCTGCAGGTCATTTCAAACACGTGTGCTTGCTCAGGAAAAAGGGTAGGCAACAATGATTACAGAAAGTCTGGGTTCCTGAAGGCCAGTGCACTCTTGGAACATGTTGGAACAAGACTGCGTTCAGAATAACAAAGACTCTCGTGACTCTTCTTGGCTCTTGGATTCTAGATACAATGAAGCCCCGAAAGCTCTAAATGAGCTACAGTCTAAACTCCTGAAAGGGGAGTTATATAGGGGATTATATAGGGGACTCCTATAGGGGTTATTAAGGGGGATACTAGGAGTTTAGACAGTAGCTCAAATGGCCCCATGGCATTATTTAGAGACTTTAAAGCCTAGGTTGCTTCAAAGAAGGCCCCGGCTGGTGATCCAAATAGTAGCCCGCGTCAAGTGGGAGGCCAGCCTGAAATCAGGGGTTGAAGGTTTAGGGCTAAAAATTGCAAGGAAACTCTGCAAACACAGACACCTTGCGGGTAGAAAAAAACACGCGACTTGCATCTTTTCTCTACATGCATTGAAGGATATAACGGAAAAAAAAAGGGTAGTTTCCCAAAATCAGGGGACCCTAATTAGAGCCCCAAAATACTATCATCCTTGTTATTGGGACCCCCCAAAACAAAAAACGGTACTCCTACTTTCGGGAACTCCCTAATGTCATCAGCAGATTTCACGCCTCAAACCGAGGAAGTTTTGGGGCGTGCCCTGCAGCATTTAACAATCTTGGAACCCAAAAGGTCCATGCAGCCATATAGCAGATGCCTGGCCCAAAGGTAGGCAGAGGTAGTGACTTTTCGGGCCCAACGCAGGTACCGTTTATAGACATAAAGACCCAAGTATATACGAAATACTTACATTCACAAGCCCTAGGGCTCCAGTTACCTAAATAATGGGAACTCGGTTATATATACCCTATAGTTGCATAGCCCAGTAACCTACTATTTAGGTAACTGGAGCCCTAGGGAAGCCCTTGGACTTATGGAGCTAACATTTCGGTCTTCGGGATGTCCTTGCTTCGCAAGCAGTCTCAGTAGGTGAGATTGACACCTGGCCCTAGACCTTTAAGCCTGTAAACAAAACCTACATTGGGAACCAAAGATTGATATTACCTACATCCTGGGCCCCAAAAGCACGTAAAATAATAGCCCAAAACACCTAAATATAGCCCAAAAGGCCATTATTCTACATACTTTTGGGGTTCAGGATGTGCTTATTTGCAACCTTAGGACATTAAAGCTCCAGTTGCGAAGTTTACTTGAAGGTCTCTAGCATTCAGCTGAAGCAAGCAGTAAGTAGACATGTATTGTTGCTACACAAAAATCGTTAGGACCTGCAGGGTGGTAACCCTGCTTGTCCTCTTAGCCTACCTGTAACGGGACGTTCGGAGTCTAGTCTTTCGGAAGCAGTCTCTACATTTTGTTCTTCGTCTTCTTCTACGGGCTCTGGGAGACCCTAATTCAAAGCCTCCTCAAGGAGGCGCCCTGAGCCCCGCAAGGTCTCATCTCCCCTGCGCATATAGGTATTCATATGAGCTATAGTCTAAACTCCTAGTATCCCCCTTAGTAACCACTATAGTACTGCCCTAAATTATCCCCTGTATAACCTCCCTTTAAGGAGTTTAGACTATAGCTCATATAGGGTTCTGCATGCCTTTCCTCCTGTTCTGCCTCCGATCCCAGTCTCACCATGCTTCGCACGGCCTGCGCATGCCGGTCCTGGGTCGCCTCCCGCTGGATCTGCGTGGGTTCTTTTTCCGGTGTACTTGTCTCACCTGCTAAAAAGCGGAGGAGATGCTCAACCGCCCCTACATTACATCTAACATGTCTACCCAGTGCCAGTGCTGCGCCATGTTCAAATACTTCCAGAGGCAGATTGTCGAGCAGTTTTGTCGAGCAGTTGTTGCGCATGTTGTTGGCATATAACTTGCCTCCAACTCTCTGTAACGCTACTCAAACTGCTCTGCCCTACACCCACGGTGGAGAATTGTGGCCATCGAATCAACCTGGGTCGAATTGTGCTGAACTGAGCAAGCCTTCCTCTTCTGTGGTGATGGCCTCGAAGTCAGGAAGAGTGATGCCTATGGCGGCCAGGCGCGCTGGCGATGGTTTCATATCGTCTTACTCTTCCTGGATGCCGGGTATGACATGCGCGAGTCGCTTGTATTTTAAGATCGTCTGCCGTTGCTGGGAAGAAGCGACTTCGACTTTTTCAACGTACTCCGGCGCTGCTTGGCAGGATTTCCTGATTTATGCTCTGGCCTCCTCCTTCCCCTAGGGATCCAAATAGCCCAATGTAGGTAATATTTACAGACTTTGGGGCCCAATGTAGGTATTATTTGTATACTTGGATCCCTAGGGTTCTGACCAAGTGCACCATGAAGCGGCGCAGTGGCCCGCAGCTCGCTCAAATCGCGCCATTAGCCTGCCTCCTCCTTTCCGTTTAGGTCAGACCTCACAACGGATTTACCGAAGCCGGCGAAACCTCAAAACTCCAAAAGCTCGAAAAATCCAAGCATCAAAAGCTCGAAACCTTGATAACCTTATAAGATGAAGGGGTAACCTTGGGGGAGGGGTATCTAGAAAAACAACCAGGGTGCAAAGCAGAGTAATCCAACTACATAGGTCCCTCGGGCCTTCAAGTAGTGTAACAAAATCAAATTGTACTGAAATGGAGCCACTGCTTGGGCTAGGAGTTCAGCAGTTGTGCTTGGACAGCCCTGCCTGCCCGCGTTAAAGAAACGGTTTTGGGGGTTTCTACAAATTATCCCTGTACGATGAAGGGTAGAGACTCCCATCATCCCTGTGTGATCCCTACGTAGCCTTTTGGGGCCCTGAGACCCCCGAAACTGCGTCAAGAAGCTCGCTGTTGGAGCTAGGATCGCAGAGGTTGTTGCATCTATCTTGTAGCTCTGTTGTAGCCCTCCACTTACGGCCCTGAAGCCACACCCCGTTGTGACGGATCACGCGCAGCCTTTTGTTTCCGCAGTACTACAACGTCATCTACTCGTTGCAGCGCCGGCGGGGCTGGCAATACTGGGGAATAAAAGGTGCGGGGAAAATGAATGAATACCAAACCCCAGAATCCTAAAGCCGCACTAAAAGGTCTACATCCTGAACCCTGAACTTTGGTCCTGAGCCTTAAGCCCGAGTGAAACCTGCATGGATTCCAAAAAGTAGGGTAGACCTTCGGGCTGCCACCAGCATGTATGATCGTTGAACGCTTAAGCATTGGAGTTCGGGGTTTAGGGTTTAGGCTGTTCAGGGTTTGGAGTTTAGGCCTTGGGGTTGGAATGTTCAGAATTGTTAAGAGGTCGACGCGCAACTTAAGCCCCAGGGTCCAAAGTATACAACTCTCTACCCACAACTAGGCCGGCGGTTTCTAGTATGATAATCCCATGTTTATTGTATACTGAACCCTTACGGTCAGACGGGAGGGCAGAAGTGTACTCAAGAGCCCACCGAGAGTGCTTGAAAAGGAACCGTAGCCCCAAACCCTTAAACTGACTGGTTCTTAGCAGGGAAAGAGGGGAACATGCGATATAGGGATTATCTATAGGGATTATATTCCCTTCTTCCCTTCTACGAAACAGTA